GGGGGGGGGGCTACACGGGAGGGGGCTAACGGGGATGGAGCGGGGTTTAACGGAGGCTTACGGGGGGTTCGCGGGGGCTTGTAAGAGGAGGTAGTGGAGTTTAACGTGGGGTTACCAGCGGTTATCCGGGGTTAACGGGGCCCGGCAGCCGCCGAGCCCCGGTTACCCGGGCTCCCGCCGTGCCCCCCGTGCCCCCGCCCCCCGCGGCTCCCCAGGCGGGGCTCCCGCGGTCCCGCCCCCGTGGCGTCACTTCCCGCGGGCGGTGCCGGGCCCGGTGCCGCCGGTGCGGGCCCCGGGAGGTAGAGGCGGAGGGAGGTCGGTCCCGGTGCCGGTGCCGGGCCCGGGCCGAGTGGGCCATGGTGGTGCTGCGGGGTGGCGCGGGCCCCGAGGAGCCGTTCCCGTGAGTGCGGGCCGGGGCCGTGGGGCGGCGGGGCCGGGAGGGGCTGCCCGGAGCCCCCCGGGGCTGTCGGTGCGTTCGGGAGAGCCCGTACCCGGCGCCCCCGCCCCGGGGTCAGAGCGCAGCCCGGGACAGCCGTAACGAGCTAATTCGTGTTTACCCCGCCGAGGTCACGGTGCTCCCGGTCACCGGGGCTGGGGAGTACGGCCGGGGGTCCCCGCGCCCGGCCGGGGGTCCCGGGAGCTGCGGGAAGGGGCTGTCGGGCGGGGAGTCCCGCGGGGGCTTTTGCTCTGCGTGTTCCTGCCGTGTCCTGCTGCTAAAGGATGAATAACAGGGACAGGTTGGAAACCCCCCAGCAGGGAACGAGGGGCTGCGCATTCCCTGGAAATGGGAAGTGGAGGAGAAGCCACGCAAAACGGTGGCCCTGGAGCTGCCGGGCCCGTGTTCCTGGGGTCAGGGATGGCTCTGTCCCCGTGTTCCTGGGGTCAGGGATGGCTCTGTCCCCGTGTTCCTGGGGTCAGGGATGGCTCTGTTCCCCAGGGAACGAGCTCTGCCGGGATCCCTGCCCTGGGATCCCCCCTTGGCCTGGCTGAGCCGCCCGGGATGGGGCCCTGGTGCCGAGGTCACCGGAGCTCGGAGCTCGTCCGACAAAGCCCTGAGGTCCCCTGTGAGCCTCCTGGTCTGTGCTGGGCAGGGGCGGCAGTGCCAGGGCAGACGTGGCAGTGCCGGGTGCCAGGGCAGCCAGGAGCGGCCGTGGAGCCTTTGGGAACAGAAAGTCCCGTGTGGCTCAGCCCATTCCCTCCCAGCCATGGGGCTCGGGGGGTCCCGGCAGCCCTGGGATGCTTCTGCCTGGCTGACGCTCATTTTTATCATCTTTTCCCCTCCAGTGGAGGAGGAGGAGGAGGACAACAAGCCCCCCTCACTCTGCTGCCCTGCCCTGTGAGAGCTGGATAAATGTTGGCAGTGCCGTGCCTGGACTCCCCTCTTTGGGGGGCTCTTTCCGGGGCCGTGCCCGTGGGCCGTGACGGCTCCAGGGAGCGCCTGGCTGGCAGCTGTGTCCTCAAACCTGAGCTGGGGCCGCTGTAAGGTGACTCCCTCTGTTTATTCTTTTTTTTTTAACCACCTTTGTATCAAAACTCGATCTGCCAGCCCCGGTCGCTCGCTGTGCCAGGTTGGGTTACCATTCCCCACCCGTCCTTTGGGCATCGCCGGGATATCTGTGGCCCTTTTATTCCTTCCAAGCCCACCTCTGCCATGGTTTTCTCTCCAGCTGGAAGTGGGTGGTTGTTTTTTGCCCCCATCCAGGGGAAGGGAAAAAAAAAATCAAGGTTTTGGCCTGGGTGAGCAGCTGGCTGCTGGCCCGGGCACAATCGGGCGGCACAACCTGCTCTGCCCTGAGCCCAGGGCGGCTCTGCCGAGGCCTGATTGCAGGGCCAGGGCTCCCTGAGCCCTGGGGCACTGGGAAGGAGGGGACACGGTGGGGAAGCTGTGCCTGGGGGGGACACAGCCCTGTGGAAGGGGCAAGGCCGTGGAGCTGCCGTTGCAGTGGGAACAGCAGTCGCCTTCGGCTGCTCCCCGTCCCTGATGGACAATCCCAGGGAGTTGTTTTGGGAGTGTTGGTTTTCTCACCCACCCTTTGCTGCTCTAAAGGAAACCCACACAACCCTGACGGGAAGCTCCTTCGCAAGTGGGCAGAGAACAAGCAAAGACACTGAAACTTCCTGTCTCTGGTGTTTAGTGAACTTTGAAACCCGAGCGGTTGCGCCCAACGCCCAGCGAGCTGCTCGCTCGTTGCTTGGCTTCTTTTTCACCCGAAGTTATCTCAGTTTATGGTTGTTCCTAAGTTGTGCCTGTGACTAAGCAATGCCCTGGCTGCGGAATTGTTGTGAACAGCGGCCAAACACCTCTGGGTGCCCCCGGGAGCTGGCAGTGGCGTGGCAGGGATGGTGTTCCTGCTGCCGATCCCACCGGGATGGTGCTGATGGCTCCACAGCACGAGGTGCAGGGGGGGCCTGGCAGGAATGGATCCTGTGGTTTTGCTTCACGTGCCAGTGAGGTTAATTACCCAGCATGTCCAGTGCTGACCTGCAGCTGCTCTGAGCAGAGCCAGCCCTTGGAGCTGGCAGTGACCCCAGGGGAACAGGTCCATGTGGTGCCAGTTGCAGGAATCCACTGCCCCAGGCCTGAGGGGCTCGGGTGGGCTCATCCCTTCCCCCGTGTCCCCACAGGAGGATCGAGGACTGCCTGCCCCCGCTGGAGGACTCCCCGTCCAAGCGGTTCTCCCCGTCCAAGCGCAAGCAGTATTACATCAACAAGGCCATCCGCAACTCCGACCTCATCCCCAGGGCCAAGGGCCGCAAGAGCCTCCAGAGGCTGGAGAACAGTAAGGCTGGGGCACAGTCTCTTCTCCAGGGCAGGTGGCAACCTCCTCTAAACTCTGTAGCAGGCAGGGGTGTGCTGGGGGCACAGGGCTTCTCTGGAGGTGCTGTTTCCACTCTCAGGCTTTGCTCTTGCCCCCAGCTCGCTACCTGATGACACTTCTGGAGCGGGACGACTGCGGGAGCGACGAGGGAGAGCTCGACCACTCTGCCACCCCCAGCATCTTCACCGAGGCCTGTAACAACGAGACCTATGTGGAGGTGGGCACAGCCACCCCCCTGCCTGGGGCTCGCTGGGAGGGCCCTGGCATGGCATGTGGTGCCTGTACCTCGCTCCTGAGGAACCCTCTGCCTCCCCTGCCTGAGCTGGTGCACCCCAGGTTCTGCCTGGTCTGGTGTCAGGGCGGGGATCTGTGGGCCTGGTGCCCGGCTGCTGCTGTGTGTGCCAGAGGGTAACGAGGTCCTGGGGTGGGGAATCTCCAGGCAGATCCTCTCATGGCGAGTTGTGCCTGTGGTGGCTTCTGTTGTCAGATCTGGAATGACTTCATGAACCGGTCGGGAGAAGAGCAGGAGCGGGTCCTGCTATACCTGGAGGAGGAGGCCAGGAAGAAGCACAGGAGGAAGCTGCCTGTCAAGAATGAAGACAAGTGGAAAGGTACTGGGAGGGGACGCTGGGTGGGAACAGCCCCTCCCTTTCCTTCCTTGTGTACATTTTGGGAAGGGTGACCTTCCCCAAGGGCTGCACCCACTCCCTGCACCGTGTGTTTATGGTGGGGTGGGGGAGGCCTGAGCCCACCCCCTGAGTGTAGCATTGGGGGGATTATGTCTGCAGACCCGCCCTGGACCTGGGAGGGTTTGTGGGAGCTGGGAGTGGCTGGGGCGATGGGCACAGCAGCTGTCCCCTGATGGCACAGCCCCAAATCCCCACACTCCCAAACGCTTCCATGCTGGGGAAGGCATTGCTGGTCTGGGGGGGGGACTGTGACCCATGAGAGAAGGGGGTGCCCAGCCACTGGGTCCTTCTGAGAGGTGACACTTTGCAGCCGGAGCCGTCCCGCAGGCTCTGGGGCTGTGAGCTGTGTCCCAGTCCCTTCTCCCTTCTCTCTGCCTCTCCAGAGCTCCCGGCCTACACGCCCCAGGAGTGTTTCCAGCGCATCAGCCGCCGCCTGCGCGCCACCCTGAAGCGGGGCCGGATCCCCATGGTGAGCAGGGGTCCTGGGGCAGGGGCAGGTGGGGGTCCCAGGGCAGGGGCAGGCAGGGCTCCCTCCACAGCCGTCTCCCCAGGGCCGTGCCCTGACCTTGTGTGTGGGCGCTGAGCCGGGGCGGTGCCGAATTTCAGAGCAGCTCCTGGGAACGTGCTCCAGTCCTCGTGTGACCCTGCGCTGGTGGCTGGTCGCAGATGGGTTTTCCTGGCTCTGTTCAGATTTTTCTGGCAGTTACAGGACCTTTTCCAGTGGCTGTTATCCAGTCTCTGCGCAATGAGCAGCAGGTGACGGGTGAACCCGGCGTGTTTGCGCATGGGGAAAGCAGGAGAGCATTTGGGGTCTTCACAGTGGCCCACGCGAGGTTATTTGGGAAAACTCCAATGCATTTTGAAAGGGGTAAAAGTGCACAAGCTGCTGAGCAGGATGGGGAGAGGCGAGTGTGGGCTCAGGAGCTGGGCTGCCACGCGCTCCCTGTGCTGCCTGCCCAGGCACTGCCTCTGCCGGCCCTGGGGTGCTGGCTCCCCGCTCTCTCTGCTCAGTGGGGCTGTTTTGCTGCTCTGTTTGTTTTCCTGGTGCTAATTAGAGCCTCTAAACCCAGCCTGGGCTCCTCCTGCCCACTGGCTTCTGCTTGTTTGTCCTCAAATGAGACGCGCCTGCTGCTCGTCCCCAGGGTCACGGTGCCCCGCAGAGCTGCAGAGCCCTGCCCTGTGTCAGGAGGCACGAGGCTCCCCTGGCTGCTCTGAACACAAGGGACAGTGCCAGCCCTTGGCACACACACTGTGGAGTTGGCAGGGGCCGGATCCTTCCCTGCCTCGGGGGCTGGAGAGTTGAGATGTCTCCTGTCCCGGTGCCTCCCCGCTGTCTCCCATCCGGATTATTGCCTGGGAGCTGCTGGCAGTAGCTCCTGGGGAGTTGGAGGCCTCATAGTTCTGGGGCTGTGCCCACCACAGACCCCTCCTCGCTGAGCCCCTGCCTCTCCTTACAGGGGACTCTGGAAGGGCTGGAAGAGGAGCTGCTGGGATTCTTCTCTGTCACCCCCCACTCGGTCTACACAGCGCTGATGGACAACAGGTATTTCCCCACCTCGGGGTCCTGAGCTCGGGGGTTCACTGTGTCTGCCCCAGTCTGCTGAGGGGCTCTGGGAGCAGACGACACTCCTTGGTCTCCCCTCAGCCAGGCTCAGGTGTCCATCTGGGGACACCCCACCTGGCCTGGTCCCCACAGAGCCCTGGGGGAGGGATGCACCCGGGGATTCCTGTGCAGGAGCTCGTGGCACTTTGTGCTCCCTGTCTGCTCCGTGGGTCCCTGGGAGGACTGAGGGCAGGGCAGCGTGTGGGACACTGTTCAAGGCATGTTTGTTCTAATTCCATCCCAATTTCCCCCAGCTTCGAGCGGCTCCTGCTCCACGCGCTCTGCCAGTACATGGATCTCGTCTCTGCCAGTAAGAGTCTCGTGTCTGCTTGTTTTTGGTTTTGATTTTGTTTTTGTTTTCCCCTTTCCTCCATCACTATCTCTCCTCTCCAGCTCAGCCGTTTCCTCCCGGCCCCACCTCGTGCTGGGGCTCACAGATAACCCTGTGCTCCCCCCCCAGAGCTCCCTGGGCAGCCCTGGCCGTGGCCACCAGTGCTGGGAGCACCTGAGGGGGTGGCCAGGCCCTGCTCTGCGGGGGGGGTTTGGGTGGCCCAAAGTGAGAGGCTGCTTGCAGGGCTCTCTCTCCTGTGGCTGCTGCCTCCTCCTAGGGAGCAGCCTGCCCTGGGCCTCCCCAGGAGGTTTTGTTGCCAAGGTAGGGGAGGAGATAGAGACACCAGGCTCCATCCCTGCAGAGCTGCTTGTGGAAAACAGCGTGAGAGCAACAATGGTGGGGAGTGAGCCCACGGTGCTGGCAGGGACACGTGGAGGTGGCTGGGGCTGGGGGGGCACAGAGCACAGGGGGAGGAGTGGAGGGAGGTGGCTGGGCTGGGAATGCAGTGTCTGGGGGCACAGGGGTGTGCTGACTGCTCCCTCCCACCCCCCAGGTTCGGACATCGAAGGGAAACGTCAGATGAAAGTGAGCAACAAACACCGCGTGTTCCTGCCCCCCGAGCTGCTGCTCTCAGACTACCTGGGGCAGCTCAGCTGATGCCCCGAGGGCCGCCCTGCCCCTCCTTCATCCGCTCTGGCCTCCCCCAGCCCCCTGGACCCTCGGACCTTCCCTGCCGCAGGAGGGGCAGAGCTGGGGGCTCGTGACCGTGCCCCCGGGGCCGGTGTGGGCAGGGCAGCCCTGCCCGGTGCCGCCGTGGGTGTGGAGCCCGCCCCGCTCCCCACGCTGCCCTCCTGGAACTGTTTGTGTGTCTATTTATAACCTAGGTGTTTTTAAAAATAATCAGGCGGGGCCAACCCCCTCTGGCGCTGACGCTCGTGGGGTGATTTTGGTCCAGATTTTTCTGCGGTGAAACAGCTCCCGGCGGGTGCTGAACCATCGCTGAGCCGGCGGAAGAGCCCGGGGGCTGCCGCGTTCCGGCGCCCACAGCCCGGGGAGGTGTCCAGGGGGGCTCCCTGTGCCCTGCCTGCACCACGGGGCTGTTTTTAAGTGTAATATAGCCTGTGTTTTTTATCACGTGTGTGTATATTTACGTGTGTGTGTGTGTGTGTGTGCGCTGGGGGGTTGCAGCCCCCCTCGGGGCTCTCCCTGCTTGCCCACAGCTGCCATGGGGGCAGGTGGGGCAGTTTTGGGGGGCTCTCTGTGTCCCCTGTGTCCCCGACACGTGCTTGCAAGCTGCTCGCAGGGTGTGCCCCGGGGGTCTTTGCAGGTCGCTCTGGCCCGGGAAGACACTGCCTGTGTTAACTGAGCCCCTCGTGCCTGCTTTGCTGGAGCGACTCGGGCGTGGGTGTGCTCCGGAACAATAAACACGGTGCTCCCCCGCTGCGGCTCAAGTGTCTTGCATGGGGACGGGAGGGCGGGGCGGGGTTGGGGGGCGTCTCGGGGGGTTCTCCTTTTGCAGTGCCCGCAAAAGGGAGGTGGGGGCAGGTGCGAAAAATATGGAACGCTTCACGAATTTGCGTGTCATCCTTGCGCAGGGGCCATGCTAATCTTCTCTGTATCGTTCCAATTTTAGTATATGTGCTGCCGAAGCGAGCACGATCTGCCCTCTGCCCGCGGCAAGAATTAAAGGTCCAGAATTTAAAAATAATTTAGGACAGGGTGACTCAGTGTAGCTGCGGAAGGAAAGCTTTCGCAAGTCTGTTCAGATTTTCCCAATGTTTCAACGCCTCGCTGTCCTTGGATTTTTCCAGAATGCCCGAAATAACGCGGGTTCTATTCGCTGTCGCCTTCCCGGGGGGTTCTGGGTAGGCGTCCATGCAAATTAGAGCCATGAGTGCGCTGCCCGGCCCCGCCCCGCCCTGAGGACCCCCGGCCGCGGGTGTCCGCGGCGGTGCCTGAGGCGCGGAGCGGGGCAGCCCGCGGGGTCCTGGCGGGAGGCGGCGCGCGCCGGTGGGTGCGGCGGGGCCGGGACCGTCCGGACCGGGACCGACCGGGGATCCCCCGGGACCCCGTGGGACCTGTGTCCCCCCCCCCCCCAGACCCTCCCCGCCCACCGGGACCTCTCCCGCGTCGGTCCCTGCGGTCCGTGCCCGTGTGACGGGCCGTGTGTCGCCCCGGGCAGGACCGACCCCGTTCCGCGTCCCGGTGCCCGCCGGGGCCCGGCCGGCGGGATGGACCTGGCGTACGTGTGCGAGTGGGAGAAGAAGCCCAAGAGCAACCACTGCCCCTCCATCCCCCTCGTGTGCGCCTGGTCCTGCCGCAACCTCATCGCCTTCACCACCGACCTCCGCAACGAGGAGGAGAAAGGTACCGCGTTCCCCTGGAGGGCCGGGACACCTCCCTGCGAGCTCCCGGAGCTTCGACAGGTCCAGGATCCTCTGGGCCGGGAGGCCGGGGCTCTGCCCTGGCCTTGGCAGGGAACGCTGCTCCTGCTTTTCCTCCCATCCCTCAACCTCTGACAGTGTCTAATGGGTGGTTGTTCCCTGGTTGTTCCCCTCAACCAGGACCAGCTCCACGTCGGTGTCTGGCCCCTCACTGAGTTCCCAGCACAGTTGTTATCCTGCCCAAAATCATTTGTGTAAAGTGTTTAATGTCTTTCCCCACATCAGCTGAGGCTCTGTGGGCTCAGAAACAGTGGCTGGTGAGGAGGGACAGGGAGTCACCTCCGTGTTCTTGCAGATCTCACCCACATGGTCCATATCATCGACACCGAGCACCCCTGGGACGTGTATTCCGTGAACTCGGGGCACACTGAGGTCATCACGTGTCTGGAGTGGGATCAGTCGGGTGAGCTGGGATCCCTCCTCACTGTCCCTGTGTCCCAGAGCTATGGAGGGCAATTCCTTGGGGGATTTGGGCTGTTCCCCCTGTTCTCACACAGTGCTGCTGTCCCAGGCTCCAGGCTGCTCTCGGCGGATGCCGACGGACACATCAAGTGCTGGAGCATGACAGATCACTTGGCCAACAGCTGGGAGAGCACGGTGGGCAGCGTGGTGGAGGGGGACCCGGTGGTGGCCCTGTCCTGGCTGCACAACGGTGTCAAGCTGGCGCTGCACGTGGAGAAGGTTTGTCCCAGCTCCGGGGGGAACCTGGGCTGGAACACTGGCTCATGCCTTTGCAAAGGACTTGGGATCCCACCTGTGTTCTGTCTGCTCTGAGCTCCCTCATGACCTTGGCCAAGTCCGGTAGGGGAGTTTTTTGCCAAAGAGGAAAGTCGGATTCCTGGTTCCTGCTGAATTCCGATGGGATTTAGAGCCTGGGTTTCTCTTGGTGCTTTAAGTGTGTTTCTCTTAGTGTGGTACCTTAGTTCTGGGCTGGGACATGGAGATAGAGCAGTTCTTTCCTGACCAGTGGTAATTCAGAGGAAATGTGTTCGAGGTGCTGAGGTTTGATCCAGGGCTTTGGGCACAGGACCTGTGTATGGAGATGAGCTCCCTGTTTGGAAACGTGTCTGATTGCAGGGAGATTCCCAAAGCCCAAGGCTGCCAAGCACAAGTTCTCTGCTTCTGTTGTTTTTGATTCCTGTGGTGTCCTGCAGAGATCCTGCCCCTCTCCCGCGAGGAGAGCTCCACAGGCACGGAGTGCAAATGCCTCAGTTTTGCTGACCTCTGTTACAGTCTGGAGCATCGAACTTCGGCGAGAAGTTTTCCAGGGTGAAGTTCTCCCCGTCGCTGACGCTGTTCGGCGGGAAGCCCATGGAGGGCTGGATCGCCGTGACCATCAGTGGGCTGGTCACCGTGTCCCTCCTCAAGCCCAACGGGCAGGTGCTGACGGCCACCGAGAGCCTGTGCCGCCTGCGCTGCCGCGTGGCCTTGGCCGACGTCGCCTTCACGGGCGGGGGCAACATCGTGGTGGCCACGTCGGACGGCAGCAGCACCTCCCCCGTGCAGTTCTACAAGGTCTGTGTCAGCGTGGTGAACGAGAAGTGCAAGATCGACACCGAGATCCTGCCGTCGCTGTTCATGCGCTGCACCACCGACCCCGCGCGCAAGGACAAGTACCCGGCCATCACCCACCTCAAGTTCCTGGCCCGGGACATGTCGGAGCAGGTGAGCAGCTGCTCTTAAGGCAGGTGGGAATTCGATGAGGAACAAGGAGGTGGCTGTTTGCTCCACCTCAGCTTCCCCAGGGGCTCTGAAGGTGACCAGCGTGTCCTGCACTGCCCTTGACGTTTTGGTGCAGCTGGAATTAGGGACCTCACCGTTACCTCCCACTGGTTCCATCCTCTGCTTTTTGCTGGTGGGGGCACAACCTAAGTGGGAGCAGGACCCTGGGAAGGGAGGGTAGGAATGGCAGGGGCAGTGCCCTCCCTGTTGTGACGCCCGTGCCTGGGGCCCTGTTCCGTAGGTGCTGCTCTGTGCTTCCAACCAAAACAACAGCATCGTGGAGTGCTGGTCCCTGCGGAAGGAGGGCCTGCCCGTCAACAACATCTTCCAGCAGATCTCGCCTGTGGGTGAGTGTCTGCACCACATGCTCTCAAGAACAGGAGCGTGGTCTGAGGGGAAAGGCAGGACAGGTTCTCACATCCGTTATCTCATGTACGGGGTTATCCAGAATCCCACATTTATTTTCAGGTGTTCTCAGTCACATGCTTCACTCATCTGTTTGCATCGTAGGCAGTGATTTGCTGTTTCCAGGAAGTGGTTTGGTTGTTAATTTCACAGCCATCCTTCCTTCTGGGAGCAGAGCCTCCCAAAGGACCAGGGTCGGGCAGCAGAGCTGGATTAACCCCCTGCCCAGGCTGCCTGGGCTCAAATGGAACAGAATCAATCAGGGCAGTGTGTTTGGTGAAATAGAAAGGATTATTATGTATAAGGATTCTCTAATCACCCCCAGCAGAGCCTTCCATGAGGGGAAGTTTGGCAAAACAAGTTGTTTGTATAATTCAGGAAAAAAATAGGAAAATACAAGGGAAACATATGGGAAATATATGGGGAATATATACTGGTCTGGTGGAATGAAGTGCCTGGTCTTTGGTCCTGCTTGGTTGGAGAGTGTGGGCAGGAACGGGGAATTTGATCTCTTAGGGACAGATGTCTCTCTTACTTGCCTGTTTTCCCCAGTGGGAGACAAGCAGCCCATGATCCTGAAGTGGAGGATCCTGTCTGCCACCAACGACCTGGACCGGGTGTCAGCCGTGGCACTGCCAAAGCTGCCCATCTCCCTGACCAACACGGATCTGAAGGTGGCAAATGACACCAAATTCTTTCCTGGGTTGGGTAAGGAGTTCTTGTTGTCTTTCTCTTAAATACGTGGCTTTTGCCTGAAACTTGAACTTCTGAGCTGTACCTGATGTAAAAGTGGGACCAGAGCCTATGGAATGCTCATGCAGAACTTTCAAAGGCGTGATGTCTTCCCAGCCATCCCGTTGTGTTTCCATGGGAAGAGGTGTATCTCTGTGAAACGCAGACGTGGGGCCTGGGAGCCCCCAGCCCTTTGGCTGCTCCTTGTTGCCGCGTGGCCTTTGATGGTGACCAGAGCTTCGGGCAAGGGCTGTGCCGTGCTGGGAGGAGCCGCCGGCTCAGCCTGGGTTGTCTCCTGTCCCCAGGCCTGGCCTTGGCTTTCCACGACGGCAGCGTGCACATCGTGCACCGGCTGTCCCTGCAGATGATGGCCGTGTTCTACGGCTCCTCCTCGCAGCGCCCCGTGGACGAGCCGTCCCTCAAGCGCCCGCGCACCGCGGGGCCCCTGGTGCACTTCAAGGCCATGCAGCTCTCCTGGACCTCGCTGGCCCTGGCCGGCGTGGACAGCCACGGCAAGGTTGGTGCTCTCTCACGGCTGGGTTAGTTCTCATCCAGGCTCTCCGAGCGATGATGGGTCACTCAGAAAATGCTGGGAATTCCGGCTGTGCGATCCGTGTTAGATGGGAC